TAGCGTGGGGCAGGGCAGGATCTTGGAGGGGGGGAACGCTCCCGTCCCACGGAGTCCCAGCCCAGCCCCACGGAGCCCCAGCCCAGCCCCCACTCACTGCCGCTCTCGCTGTAGCGGGCCCGCAGGGTGAGCAGCCTCTCACGGAAAATGTGCTGATTGCTCCTTCCTATCCCAGTCTGAGTGTCCCAGTACGGCTGATCCAGGCTGGCCGCCATCCAGCCCGACCCGGGCACCGCCCTCCCCGTCTCGCTGTCGTAGCGCGAGATGAGGTTCCCGTCCACGTACCCCACTGCCGTGAACTGGGGCACCCCCGGGCTGGGGTTCGACACCGTGGCCTCGAAGTAGCGCAGGTAACGCTCGGTGGTGGGACACAGCGGGTGGTGAGAGATGGTGGAGAGAGGTGGCCTCAGGACGGCAACTGACACACGACATTCTTTCACAGTTAATGCTGTTTTGTAGGCCAGAAGGGACGTGAGATGAGGTCCCGTATGTGGGTTTGTTCTTTACACCAAGAAATCTTACAGAGCAGCAGAGGGATTGTGGAGATGTTCCACAGGACCCCGTGGCATTGGCATTAGAAAAGGAAAGGGGAAAGGAAAAATTGAAAATATGATTCGAAGTTGATGGCTGCTCCCTGACAGAGACGGGGAGACGCGCGGAATAAGATCACGCAAAAAGGGGGGTCGAACGCCTGAGGCAGATTTACTGACGATGGGAATTATGACTCGGGGAGGGGGGCCGGGGGGAATTTAAAAGCCTCTCCAGCAGATCCCCTGGTTCCAGTACAGCTGAGGAATGAAAATATTGATACTGGGGAAACCCACTCAGTAGTGACTGGTTGTAAGGGACCTTCAGGTAAATTCTCTGTCCCAGTTGCTGGGGTCATGAGAAAGCCTGAGGTAAAACTTTTTTTTTTATGACCAATGGAATGCAAAATTGGGAATAAGGTTTTCTATATGCCTGAACGTCCAATACCTCTCGTGGGTCGAGCTTGGTTAAACAAATTGGGAGCACAAATAACTTTTTCTAATAATTTGATTCAACTTCATATCCCACAAAATAATGCTTGGAATGCCCAGCTGTGTCTGTTACAGGAAAAGAAGCTGAGAATCTCGAGGTGCCCGAAGAAATTCTGAATGCTGTTATTCCTACAATTCCCGGGAAGGCAAAGGCTGCAGGGCCTGTGAAAGTGGGACTGAAACCTGGTGCCAGAGCGGTAAGAAAGGCTCTGTGAAATGAAAGATGAACTCCTGTGAGAACATCACTCCGAATACCGTGCTCCAACACCGCCAGCGAAGAAGCCCCGACCTCAGGAGTACCGGCTGGTGCAGGATTTCAGAGCCGATAATCAAACTGTACTTGATGTGCACCCTGCGGAACCAAACCCGTACACGGCATTGGCTGCGGTCTCTGAACGTGACACCAGTTTTGCTGTGTTAAGAGCTAAAGGACACTTTCTTTTGCCTACCTGTGGGGACAGAAAGCCAACAGGTGTTTGCTTTGGAACGGGAAAGCCCATCCACCCGGCGGAAAACGCAGCTTTGTTGGACGGTGCTGTCGCAAGGATTCCAGAACAGACCTACCGTGCTCGGTCATGCAGTGGCTGACGAACTGGAACACTGGCAAGGGAAGAATTCTGCTGTGAATCTTTTACAACGTGTGGATGACATACTTCCAGGAACAGATAGAGAACCACAGTGTAAAGAAGCAACTACCAGTTTACCAGTTCTCTGGGACTGGCAGGGTAGCGGGTGTCTAAGAAAAAGGCCCAGGTGATACAAAAGACTGTTTCCCAAGGAGAAAAGCTGGGAACTGAATGAAAGGAGGCGATATGCCGTACTTCCGCCCCGCCGAGTCGGAGCGAGAATTAAGGAGATTTTTGGGAATGGCAGGATGGTGCAGACTGTGGCTACCAATTTTGGACTGGTGGCCAAATGTTTGTATGAGGCCATAAAAGGGCCAGAAGCCCTGGAGTGGACACCAGAGCGCCGGAAAGGTTCCGATGATGACAAAGGACTTTAATAAAAGCTCCTGCCTTAAGACTGCCCAATTTGACCAAACTTTTTAAGCTCAAAAATAAACTGTGGGACAGAAGATCACCGTATTCACTCCACATGCAGTACCAGTATTCACTCCACATGCAGCGCCGCAATAAGAAGGGCATCACTGACCATCCCTAAGCAGAACGGTTCAATATCACTGTGTTAGTTGAACAGGATGATGTGACATTAAAAACATCTTCTACTTTCAATCCAGCAGCCTCGTTACCCGCCAGATTTGAGAGATGTTCCCCTGAAGGATACCGACGGCAGCAGGACCCTTTCGGGGGTCACTCCACATGCAGCGCCGCAATAAGAAGGGCATCACTGACCATCCCTAAGCAGAACGGTTCAATATCACTGTGTTAGTTGAACAGGATGATGTGACATTAAAAACATCTTCTACTTTCAATCCAGCAGCCTCGTTACCCGCCAGATTTGAGAGATGTTCCCCTGAAGGATACCGACGGCAGCAGGACCCTTTCGGGGGGAGAAGAAAAAGCTGGATATGCAGCAGTGACTCTGGGAGAAGAGGTGGTTTTTTTCCGATAACTACTCCTGCACGGAAAGCAGAACTCCTGCTCTCCCAAGAGCTCTGGAAAACGGGCCCATATCTACGCTGATGTGTGCCTTTGGAGTGACACATGCTCACGGAGCCGTACGGAAGGAACAAGGACTGAACTGTACAACACGGAGTGGAAATTGTGAAACTACTCACAGCAGGTTCTTTACCCAAGGAAGCGGCTGTAACAGACCGACGCGATTAAAGGAAACCAAAGAGCCAATGAAGCAACAAAAGAGTATCCTTCAGTAAAATAGTTGGTGCTCTGATTCCAGAGGGAAAAACAGAACCCAAAGTTCCCAGATACAACAAAAAGAAAATGAATAAGCCAAACTTTTGAATTGTGGTAAGAAAAATGAATGGTGGGTCACACCCAACAGACAATGCGCAGCTCCAGCTCCAGCTGTAAGGGAATTGTGGCACCGAACTCACAGACATGCACACGGCAGCAGATGTGGCAGCTTTGGCTCTGAGACATGGAATTGGACCCGGAATGCAGCAGCACGCAGAGGGAATCATTAGACAATGTGAAATTTGTTGTAAAAATAACCCAACAATACAAAAACCCTCCACCTGGAGAGGTAAAATGGGGATATCTCCCAGGGAATACTGGCAGATTGATTCTTCTGGATTCCCTGGAAGAAATGGATATAAGTACATTTTGGAAATAGTGATACCTTTTCAGGACGGCCCGGAGCTTTCCCATGTCAAACCAACAAAACTAGAGAAGTAATAAAATGATGTGAAGAGAAATAATTCCTAGATTTGGGATTCCAGAGGGAATATCATCGGAGAGGGGTCCTCATTTTGTGGTGAAAGTAGTAAATTTTATGTGGGAGGCCCTATCAAATTGTAACTGGAATTGGGGAGACACATGTTATTGGGGAAAAATCATTAAAAGATCATGTCATCTCTTTGGGAAAAGTTCTCTCCTCTCTACACAGACCCACCACACTGACGGCACCCGTCACCTTGGACGTCCAGGTCCATAGTTTTCAGCCCCGGGACTGGATCTACATTCGAACCTGGAATGATGAACCTTTGAAGGAAAAGTGGAAGGGACCATATCAAGTCCTGCTCACAACACAAACAGCAGTGAAAGTCCCCGGGATCAGTCTCCGGGATCAAAATCTGGATCCACCACAGCAGGATAAAGCCAGCTGCAGACCCAGAACGGGAAGCCAAACAAGTAGGACCAGCACATCTAAACTTTACTGGAAAATCTCAGTAATGACAATAATCTGTTTGAGCCGATTAGGAGTACCAGGCACAGAGGAGGGTGAAGATCCAAGGATTTGGAAACATGCGCAGTCTTACTGGTGTAACAGCCCGCATACCCGTCCTCCAAGCAGCTGGCCAGCCCTTGCCATGGGGAATAATTCCTGTAAATCTGTCAGTTCTAGAGGAATACGATCACATTTCCAAGGCTTTCATTGCAGCTAATGGATCTTATTACCTTGACAAGGACGCCAACTGCAAGCAAGGAGGCAACGACGAGCTCCAGAATCCAATGCCTTGGAGGCCAGGTGATAACGGAATTGTGTTTGGGACAGGGACACATGATCAATGCCCAGAAGGACCTAAACCCTTAGACCAGGACTTTCTAAAATTTGCCCCGACAGCTCCAGAAGGACAGGCAGAGGGGCTGCTGGAATTGTGTGTCACTCGGAATCACACTAAAGAGATATCCACGGCCCCAGAGGGGGTAATGTTGGGAAAGAAGCCTAAAGCATGGACTAGGTCCTTGGAAGGTCCCTGGAAATACACGGGACACTGAAGTTGGCGTGTAACCTGAGGAATGAGCTCTGTACTTCACATTAGTGACTGGAAGTGCAACAGTCTCCTGGCTAAAAGTCCAACAGCCTTTCCAAATCGTACCGGTTGGGTCAGGCAAAGGTTGCAGAGATGTTGTACCCTCTCCAGGACACACTGTGTGGGCAACGTCAGACAGGTTTGGACCACACGATTAAAACTAAGCCCAGTTACCAGACAAGTGACACTGGGGCTGTTAACCCTTTGCCCAGTGCGGAAGAAAAGTCCAATTGAAACAAAATATTGGGGAAGAGTAAAAAGAGATATTGGTCAGGGTGCAGACACATGGGCAGGTCCAACAGCACCTGTAGAGTTTGGATGGGGAACTCAGAGTTTTCTGATGCCACGTTTGATAGCATGAGAAACCAGAATGCTCACAGAAAATCCAACCTGGCAAGTAGAAACCCTGACAGAGGCCCCTGAGAAAGGGTTCCAACTAACAAGGAACTACAAGAAAATACAAAGATGACAGTGCAGAATAGATTGGGTTTAGATTTGCTGTTTATTATTGTGTGCCCGCCTCAAGCTGGATCATGACCATCGCTGCGTGCACATCCCAATCGCGACGGGTGGTTTAAAAGCACAGCTCCAAAGGATGGAACGAGCAGCAGAGGACAGTAAAGCTATTAAGGACTCAGCTGAAAGCAACTGGCTGAACAAAATCTTACAAAGTGTAGGGGGATGGTCATTAAAGGGTGGAAGGAATAATGCTGCTGCTCCTCGTAATTATGACCATTGCAATCAGCGTTGGTGTGTGAGAAGAGTAATTGAAAAGAACGTGTGGAAATAATAAGATACATTATTAATATCAATAAAATTTACTTTTGTTAGTGTAGAAGCATGAATAATACTTTTGTCAAGTTGTGAAACAGGAATAACAGTTGCTCAGCTTATTACAGATGGATAACGGTAAGTTGTGTGAAAATGTTGTACAAAAGCCACAAAAGGTGAGACTCATCTAAAACTGATATTAGGTAAGTCTCAAAGGGGGGAATTGAATGTTGTACAAAAGCCACAAAAGGTGAGACTTGTAAAATTGATACAAGTCTCAAGGGGGGGGGAATTGTTATCCAGCAACGAAGGGGTTAAAACTTTGAAGGGGTTAAAACTTGGGTGTAAGAATTTCCCGCGGTTTGCACACACCTAAGGAACAGAACCGGACGGGCATCCCTGAAGGTGCCGGCAGGGACCGAAGGGAGACTCTTTATCCCGAGCTGTCTGCCCTGGCAGGGAGCATCCCAGAGAGCGGGTAAACTTGGTTCTCGTGTGCTCCGAGCTGGGAACACGCGCAGCAGTGACGTGGGGAAAAGGGAATTCCGGCAGCGGGAGATGGTGCCCACCGACTCACGGACCCCCTGCCCCAAACACACCCCAGACCCAAAAGAAAGGAGCGGAGGAGAGAGCTGAGCTTGGGAAGGAATTTCCATGTAAAGTGAGAGAAAGACACGCGTGATGGCGGCGTGTCACTGAGGTTGTCCCGGGCCGGGGGTGCCGCCAGGAGGAGACGCCCCCCGTGCACCCGGCGCCACAATAAAGCAATGCCGCTTTCCAACACTGCAAACTGTGTCAGGGAGCGTCTGTCCCGACTGTCGGTGACAAGAGGATTCCACTCCACAGGGACCAGGGGACGCAGCTCCGTGGGGCGGAGAAGGAGGCAGCCCCAGGCTCCCCCCACGGGGATGCCCAGTTTGCTGCCAGGACCGCACTGGATGGAGCGCGTACCGCCTGCCTGGAGGGGGAAAAAGCCACTGGCAGCTGGTTTTTTTTTAGCACAGCCCTCACACTCCCGCCACCCCCACCATAAGCTGCCCCGGGAAGGCGGGAAGGACCCCCCCGGGATACAGGAGAGCTGCCGGACGGATGGAGATGGGGAGGGGGCTGCTACAGACCACCCACGAGGGCTGAGCAGAGGACGAGGCCTTTCCCAAAGGGCTGGAGGAAGCCTCACGCTTGCCAGCCCCAGTCCGTGTGGGGGGACACTGTCCCCTCCCGGCAGCCCGCAGGGGTGGCCCTGCACTCACCCACCTCTCTGCTGCACGTCCGTTTGTCTGTACGCCCTCAGGCACCGCCGGGCAGGGGGGTGCCCCTCAGTCCTGGGGACCCAGGGGCTCCTCCACGTTCTCATCGCTGTCGCAGAACCTCCTCTCCGCCCCTTGTCCCACGGGAAACGGGGCTGTGGAATCCCTGTGCTTGCCATAAGCAGGGGCTCGTGCCCAGGGCATCCCGACTGCCAGCAAAGCCTTTTCTAAGCCAGGCTCGGATCCCGTTTGATCTCAGCAGCCATCACGCTGGGAGGTCGTGGAGAGCAGGATGGCGACGCAGGAGACGGGAACGTTGAATTCTGTCGGCTGGCCGCGGCCACGCTGCCCTTCGGCAGATCAGGTGCGGCCTCGCGGTGACGAAGGGCTCGGGAAGGCGACACCGGCACAGTCCTGCCCTGTCCCCGCTCCCTGTGACGCTGCAGCCGGTCCCCAGCGCTCCGCCAGCACCTGGGGAGAGAAACGAGGCCGCCGTGAGCTCCGGGACCAGCCTGGGACCCCGGCAGACCCAGCGGAATCACGGAGGCATCCAGGCTGGAAAAGACCCTTAAGATCATCGAGTCCGACCATTAACCCAGCGCTGCCCAGTCCACCACTGAGCCTTGTCCCTAAGCGCCACGTCCACACGCCGTCTAAATC